TCTGTACTCTTTCCCAAACGATGAGGACAAGGAAGATTAAAAAATATTCGATCTGCATTGTGTTAAAAGTTGATAGTTCTTCATTATAATCAAATGTATTTGTTCATCTTTATTGTATTGATTATCCATTTTTCACTGTTGTTTTTATTTGGTAAAAATAGCTGTTTTTTGTGCTTATTTAAAAATTAAATAATTTAGTGCTTATTTGTCTTTTTTTGTTTCGTGTTTTTTTCACATATAATTAATTTGGTACGCAAATACCTTGATTTATTGTACTCGAAACACATTTTCTCAATAATTTCCTCTCTTTCATATTCTTTTTTTCTGTGTTTTTTTTTAATCTTTCATCTCAACCTAAGTAATCGATTTCATTGTAGAAAGAAAATATATGTTCGTAGCCTATGCCTCACCAAAATACAAAACAAATGCAACATGATGCATATTTGCAGTCAAATAATCGATGTTAACGGAATAGATATATCATAGAAATCTTCATGTCCTATGTTAGGCAAACCTAATGGAAAAATAGTATGCATTTTAACAAGCAAAAGATACCTATACAAAAACAACGAAAGCCCATATCATTTTTACTATCTCTGACAAAAGAGACTTGAAATAGAAAATATTGATTTTCTAATTTATAAGATTATATTTTTTTCATCGTTGTGGAAACGTTGAATATGAATATCTTCTCTTTTTCATATGTATATATCAATCGAAGGTAAGTCAAGTATGTACAAGAGAATGATTAGTTGATAATAATACGGACGATTAGAACGTAATTGAAATAAAGTCGTTCCAAGCTGCTTTCTATTAGGCATAAAAACGTTTGTATTCATGAATGCCATATGAAATAATGTTGTCGACAAATTCGATAACTGTAGAATGTGGGCTATAATCTAAATGAGGTGCGATCAGATCAATTACAAGTCTTCATGGATGGTTTGTTTACTGAATGTTCTCTACAAGTCATGAATAGAGAATGAATTCTGCATAAATAAGAACTCCATTTTAGGTTTTTTTCAAATACATATCGACGTTGGCACATTTCTTTGTTCAGTAATCCATTTTGAACGACAGCAAGTGAAAAAAGGTCTCGATCGTTGTCCTTGAGTGTAAACTTCGCCAACTTTCGAACATAATGTTTTTCAATGCAGACCAAGTACACGTTTGTATCTATAGTGATATCTCAGTTAGAGTCATATAATGAGACAGAATTTGTTGAACATTCTTAAAAAGTTCAAGCCTATATTCGTATTGTGCGCATCTTTTGGAAATAAAAGGTCGCTGCTCATTTCCATCAACATATTTAAATAGTGCTACAAATATTCAAAGGAATAATTGATTATTAATTTTGCATCTTACTAAACTCCATAGAAGATTCATATTCATATTTAGGGAGGGAACGTTCTCAAGTGCCCAATCGCGTTTCACTGAGGACTATTTTCATTCGATCGGTTATGATGAATAGTAAAAGATGCTGTTTTAATTTAATTATCCGGTCTTCATTTATTGATTTATTGATGATTTACTCGGCTTTTGCGTTTCTTTATAGTGTAAATATCTTAATAAGGACATGCTGATTCGAGTTCAAACTTTGGCGTATGCCCAGAGACTATGAAACCCATCTATAGTCATTGTTTCAGTTCAAAATTCATCTATCAAAGTTCCCAACTATCTTATGTTGATAGGGCACAGGTCGAGTAAAATCTCCATAATTCAACAAGCGAAGATGGAACAACCAAACGAAAACAGATCTTTTACCACTCATCATGAACTATGGAATAGTCATAGTCTCGAGCAAAAAATGATTAAACAGTTGAGAACGTTTCATCGTGAGATACGAAATGCTCGTTCTTTATACTATTGAGAGCATGACGATTGACCACGTCTTGCTTGTTCGACAATGAATATTTGAGGTGAGGATGTGGATATAAATTTCTGATGAAAGTAACTGATTATGGATGCAATAATGACGGAGCACTGTTTACCACTTCACTATAGAATTGATGGTACCGGCCGATTTCTAGTTAGTTACCGTTACTATGTGAAGTAACAAGTAACAAAACATTGAGCGATTAGCTGGCCGGTTAGGAGTTACATGTTTTATGAAAATAACATTGTTTGATAAACTTTGATTAAAGGCTTTTGTGGTTGAGGTACCTAGAATTACAAATGATTTCTTAAAACTTTCTAGTTCGTTGTTTTTTGGTGGACCTATCACAGATTCGAATTTATCAGTCTGGAACGTCTTCCACTAAACTTTCTGAAAAAAAACTTCATTTTTGCCGAATAGACATTTCTTGACCACAAGAACCATGTTTACAAAATTTCGTTACTCATCACCACGTAAACTGGTAATAGGTCTGTTACCAGTGACTCTGTCACTTAATGGGCTACTAATGATAATTTACATCTTCATTCAGTTACTGCATTGACTACTGAGACCATTTATTTAGCAGGTCTATTATTCATATTTTGCCGTAGTTCTGTATATGCAACCAGATAACTTTTTCATCACCCTTCGTACTAATCAATTTATTTGAATAATATTCTATGGACAAGTATGAAAGAAATTAATTTGTTGTACAATGAACAAGTATCTTTTACTGAATTGGTGAAACTAGAGAAACAAAATCATTAATATCAAGTCAATTCGATTGTCCTGAGAAACAAACAATAATTGACCTGTGTCTAGTTCAATTCTGTTTCTTCTGGCGGACCTGAAAATCAAAATCTAGGTGCAGGTCTAGTTCGATTTTCTGTTGAAATCTTAAGAAGCCTTAAGGTTATATCTTTGAATGTCGGAGAATCTCTATAGATCTCCCAAGGTCCATACAATGTCAAGGAGCGTTCAGCAATATCATCGAATATTGTGTCCTAAATTATATTCATACTTTCAATATCTGACCTTAAATATTATTCGACTAAACCAACACTTGTCATTTCTCTCTGAAATATCTTCTCATTCACTGCAGAATATCTAAACAAGAAGTGTGTATCTTGTAATGACTGCATATTGTAACCTAAACGACCTCTTATTCATAGTTCAAATAAAAAATTGAAGCTGATTTCAACATAGAGAGAGCTGTTAACTGATTAGAAAATTCTCGAGATGGTTGTTATCATTAGAAGGTAATAGCTTTGCAGCATACAGTAAGCACATTAAGGTGCATGTATAGGGAGTTAGCTTAAATCTCCGGAATTGTATATTGATTGTTCATGAGTAACAGAAATAAGGAAATAATCCATTCTGATGGGAATTGTATACCTCTTATACTGAGCATTAGGAACTATATTTTTGATCTTTGATTAGGACAACTGATTGTAAACCATTTTCAGCTCTAACACATTCTTGGTGAATCATTCATTCAAGTGCAATAGTTCATTGGCAAAATACCGGACGAAATATAAAGATAGCACGCATCAGATGCATAAATGGACCAGAATATGGGTGTGAATATATTGGTGAACTAAGTATTCATTCGACATACCCACATCCACAACTCGTTTGCAGCAAGAACCTTTACTAGGAGGTTTCTGAAAATAGACAAGGGCCTCTGAGCGAAGAGTCACAAAAAGATTTGCGTTAGCATTCGATTTTGTCATTGATCATCTCCAAAAACATAAAAAGAAAATCAATGACATGCTCGCTATTACAATCAATATTTTATTAATGCTCACCGAAATGATAAAACTAAATACTAAAAATAAAAAGATTGACATGAATCATTCCATGGATGGTTGCTCTACGTGTATCTTTTGATCGTTATGAAAGACAAAGTAAAACAGAATGCCAACGACGAATGCTTCAATCGATAGTGCTGCATACATCCACAGCAGCTTCGGATTGACTGTCACTGGTACAAGGGCAAAGTTCAAAATACTACCAATGGCCGATGTGAATAAGAAAAGTGACATGATAATGGATTTCATGGAAGATGGTGCCTAAGTAAATGCGTACTCCAGACCAGTGATCGAAGCAAAGATTTCAGAGATAGCAATGAAAAAATACGTTGGAATTTGCCAAGCTACAGTGATATCGTTATATTTTTGTTGTCCTTCTTCTAGCTGGTTCGGAAAGTCAAAATTCGGACCAGAAGCATAGATTCGACTTTGAACAATTGCTGCCCATGCCATAGCAACAGAAACACAAAAGAAACCACAAGTAATTCGAGCGATTGGTGTAAAGTTGATTTTAAATCGTCGCAAAGTAGGATAGATCAATTTGTCGAAGATCGGAATGAAAACAATCAAAACGATCGGATCTATATTTTGTAAAATATCATTGGGTAGAGGACCTGAAAAGAAAATCGGGAAGAATCAAAGATCGGACAGTGCCGAGTTTTCTTTATAGTTTCAGGAAAGTCACGACCTTACCGACATTCATTTGCGCAGCTTGTGACACTAAATTGGTTCCCAACTGATTGTAGCAAATCCAATACAAAGGGTAGAAAAGAAAAACGCGACAAGCATTTACTGCTTTTTTTAGATCATCAACAAACCGATTGCTGTTTTCTGTTGCTACTATGTCTTTTCCGTCTTCATCGACCTGCGATGAGATTTCCTTAGCATAATCCAAAAGATTTGGATGATTAGGTAGTCTACCCAATCTCCACCGATTTCCGATAGCAGTTCCTATCACGCGACCTGCGCGAATGAGTAATGAACCAGATGGAGGTTTTCGAACATATCGATTGCGACCGATGATCAGGACAACAATGGCACCAATGAATACGATCAAAGGTAAAAGATAGGCGAGCCAGAATGAATGATACTTTTCGGTATTGGTAGTAATGATCGATGATAGTGCACCAATATTAATGGCCCAATAGAACCAATTGAACATCGATTGCATTGTTCTAAAGCAACGAACAATATGGTCGTATGAATAAGAAAATAAACTTTCGATCAACGTACACGTTTGGATCAATAATTTTCTTTTTACCTCTGATTTCTATGAAGAAACAAAAAGATGGATCTTTTCTTCGAAACATTTTTCAGTTACCTGTGATAACAGGTGTTGTTCTAGTATATTGTTCAGCCATCAGTGGACTTACATTACTTTTTACACCACCAGCACCAGCACCCAGAATGACCATGGCTATGACCAAACCTGGAAACGCGACACCTTTTTCAATAGATGGTGATATACTGCTAAGAACCAAAATGACTAGGCCAACCATATAGACCACGCATGCAACAATAATTGTTTTGTATTTACCCCAGAATTGATCGGCTAGAATGGCACCAGCGATCGGCGCAAGATAAGAGAAGAATTGAAAAAAAGTTGTCAATGCAGTAGCAATTTGTTGTCCACGACCGAGGGCACCAGGTTGTGTACTATTTGGACCAGGTGCCGGATGTTGAATATAATTTTGAAAAGGCCCCGAAAGTCCATAGTAGGCGAAACGTTCGCACAATTCACAAATGACAATAAGCCAAACAGCAAGCGGTATATAATCAGAAATATGTTCCAATGTTGTTAACTCTTCGGTGGTTGGTTCAATTTCATGGGAATCATCGATTTTTTCGATCGATTTTGCTTCGACGATGGCCATACTGTTCGATTCGACATCGTTAGTCATACTCATTTTGCCCTGTATGTCTCTAGTATTTTGTCTCCCTCCCACAATTACTTAACTTTTTGAAAAGTCTTTATCAGGTCTCCCCGAACACAGCAGAGTTAAGTCTGTTTTCACTGTCTTTCTCTCACTCGACGCAATATTTATATATATTGCTTTCTCTTATCTTCGCACATCGAACATGCTTCAGTCAAGTGCCCATCATTTGCTATTGGATATCAGCATTTTTTATGGATCTTTTCGATAATCAGATCAAATAATGGCAAAAAAGCGTTTCAGTGTCGCATCAAAATATTGTCATAATCAATAACGAATAGCATTCGTTTCTACAATCGGCCTTGACGAAAATGTATCTAAAATTGCGCGTATTTATGAGTAAAAATAATGGATATGCTAAAGTCAACACTGACGCTGGCATTGCATGTGGAGAAAGGTCAAATAACGACACAATCTCACGAGGAAACCCTACCAACTGCTTCGAAGCTTTAAGGCTCGTGTTTACGGCACAAGTAGCGCTTAGTGAGATTGAGTAGTGTCACATATCCAAGATTTTGGAGATGCCACCACATCTCCCGTGAGAGATATGGTCATCCACCACTGGAGATGTAAGATCTCCTTTAGAGATGCGCATCCCCCACACCCACAACCGCATCTCTCGCGGGAGATACGGCATCTCCCACGGGGGACGTGGTGGCATCTCCAAAATCTTGGATATGTGACACTGCTGGTGAGATTCGATGAATCCTAAAAGGATCTCCTTGAATGGGCCTATTTGGCTAAGATATGAACATTTCAAGTTTAGGATTGAAAATGTAGATAGATTGCCTGTTGTGCATGAATTATAATACTAACATGTGTCAAAAGAAAAATCTATTTTTCAAAATACTTATAGATTGAAGTCTTTTATGCATTTTCCATAAATCATCCTGAGAGCGATGTAAACATGCATAAAACCCTTTTATTCGTTGGTATAATAGATGAAAAAACTAGAGCAGACAATGAAATTGTTAGAACAACTGAAACACGAGTTGTTAGTTTTTTATACATCATAGTTTAGTGAATATAATAACTAACGACAAAATGACCAAAACATAGGTCTTTTCGACACCCACTACACGTGATGAAAGGCGATCGGTCGCATGACTTTTTGCTACAATCGTGGTGCTTCTTTTATGTAACAGCTAGATCATCAAATAAACATCACATCATAATTCTTTCAACAGCTCTACGATTTATCGATAAGTGTTTCAACAATAAATTCTGCCTTGATATATGTTAATATTGTAATTCATGCACAACAGGCAATCTATCTACATCTTCAATCCTAAACTTGAAATGTTCATATCTTAGCCAAATAGGCCCATTCAAGGAAATCCTTTTAGGACTCATCTAGTATCACTAAGCACTACTTATGGCGTAAACATGAACCTTAAAGCTTTTAATCAGTTGGTGGGGTTCTCTCGTCAGATCATTTCACGAAAAACAGGTCTAACATGGATTTTGACACTATGATCCGATTCATAGTTACGAGGTTTGCATGTTTCGAATGAGATCTACAGGCAATTAGTCAATGACTTTATTGTCATATAAAATTTGTGAGATTTATTCTTAATTTGGTGATGGATTGTCACCATATTGGTCTTTCTTTTAGTTTGGTACACATGCACATATTTTCAATACGTATTGAGTATACATTAAACTTTCAAGTGGGATCATTTGTGTAAGATGACCATTGATCTTATCAAACAATCGTTTTTTAATGAATATATTTCTCAAATGGTTGGGAACAAACTTTCAGCAAAAAAAGCATTTCACAAAACGTTCTTTTGTATCACTATTTATACCTTCAAGATTGACTAATTGCTTACATATTATCTGCTGTTGTATTCTCATTTTAATCAGACATTCCTATTGGTTTCTATTGTATGATCAAAATCATATCTAGTGTAAAGAAAATATCCGACAAAAAAGCCTAAAAATTTTACAAGCCATGCATTTTCCAATTTAGAAGCACTTCCTCTAACAAGCCGACCATGATGGCGTAAATATGCATCAATATCAAATCGCTTCAATCATTAGCATGTGAAATCTAAAATTCATTACTGTTCGAAAAAAAGATTCAGTCGCTTGATAAGATCATCAATGTCACACGTACTTATTTGAATGTTTAATACAAGGGTCTATAAAATATCAAGTATAATAATACCATTGCAAATTGATTCTATATTTACTTACAAGCAATCATGTCTAAAACTTAGTAAATTCATGACTGTAGTCGTCGATAAACAGACAATGTGAATATAATAGATGAACATAGTACTATCTTCTCTCTAGTTTGTTCTGTCTTACAAGACAAAACAGGACAAACATCATTTGAAACATGTAAAGTTCCTATTTTTATTTTCTATCCTGTAAAATATTGATACGAAATCGACAGTCATAGTTTGTTCAATTTATTTTACTCTGCTTTGAAATAAAATGAACATCTTGAATAATAATTCATTGAAAAATAATGCAAAGATATAGATATAGTTGATATGAAATAATGTGATCGAGCTATGCTAGATGAGAATCAAAATTGTTGTTGTTTTCTTTTAAACTATCAATGGATGCATTGTTAGTTTACATTTGTTTATTTTCAAGCACAAATATTAATCGAGCTAGTACAATTATTTTACATTATGTTTGTAACTATCGCTGCCATTGTTCAATTCTCTTCTACTCTTGTTTCAATGTTGAACGTGTCTTATTCGATTTCACTGCACAGATCAGCCTTCAACTTGCAATTCACAATTCATTTTCCATTATTGTATCCCTTCATTTCACTCACTATAAAGCATATAGTCTGACAGAATGAGTTCATGCATATAGTCCTAGCTTGTTTTGTTAAACGATAAAACAAAGCCGGAATTTTAATTTCGTCTTGTTCTTTATTTATCTCTGATGCATACACGATGATGATAAGAAATGTGCCATAATAATTGAGTTCTTAAAAAATGAAATGACTAATTAATACTAGTTGATCGAAATGTGCCATCTAACTATTCCGCATGTAAATTCGTAAAATGTTGAATATATTTTTCAAGTAATATAATTTCTTGAAACGGAAACAAAAATGAAAGGATATTTATTGGATGAAATGTGGTAGTATATCAGATATTCATCTATCGCTGACCTCTCTAATTTTTTTACTCTTGTGGTTAGAATCTATCGAATCAGACATTACTCTGCTTTAAAACTCTTATTTGTTCTGTTCTCAATATTTACCTTCCTCTTTTCTTTTCTGTTAAAATTCATATAAATGATGCTTTTTTTTCTTTGTTGTTATTTTATATTTTGACTTCCTGAAAAGAGTAAACCAAACCCTTTGTATTTATCAATTCATTGCGACATTTGCAAACATGAAAAAAAACTTTTATTGAACAAAATAAAGAATTGTTTTTGTAGAAATTATAGCTCAAGCATAATAATAAATAAGACCTTTTTTATCTATTCATACTGACCAAACATCAATAAAACTTTAAACTATTATCTCAATCAATAGAAATTTTTAAAAAGTTATTGGATTTTATACTGTCCGATGAATACCTACTTCAGATTCTAAATACTCACGTTCGTATGGCGACTATACATTCCGTGCAATCTAGGTTTGTCTGAATTTTTAAAATATGAGAATAATTTTACTTGTTCTATGTTTGTAGCACATCTCAAAGTTCTAATCAATTGAGACTGGATAATGAAGAAAAAGAAACAGATGCAGGCGATAGTGAGCGAAAATATACGAACCAAAAAGACCTTGATCAACACCAAGTAGGTCATGAATAACAATGATTATTAATTTTAAAGACTTTTACCTTATAGTTAAATTATTACGATAGTCGATCTATTAAATGTTCGTTTTGTCAAGAACTTCAACCATCATCATCTGCTCTAAGTGCTCATTTAATGTTATGTGGAAATAAAACTGATAAATGTCCAAATTGCCGTAAATTTATACGAAGAGCTATTTTCGCCTATCATTATGAAAATAACTGTGCTAACTTGGAAGAAACAGACACTCCTATTCCTCGATTTAGAGATTCATCAGCACATCGTCATTCTTCAAAATCCAACAGACCAGCATCACGACAGAATGACACCAATGATCACGATCAAGAAGATGGCAGTGGTTATATTTCTCCGAATAGTCGAACAAAACCATTAAATGAAATTTCATCATCGGCTTTAAACAAGAGTTAGTTTTTCTTTCATTTACGATATATTCAAATTATGAATCTGATTAATTATTTCTTTCTTTATTTCTATGAAGAAAGTTCATCATCTCCGATTATATCTAAGTCTTCTAATAATCAATGTTTATCAAATGATCATAAAATTCATTCAGTATATCCTGTAATAGCACATACGTTCTCAACGTTTTAATATTTCATACTGACTTTATAATGCCTAGGAAAATCGTCTTAACAACTCAATCAAAACGAATGACCAATTAGAACAAACATCGAATAAAACTCAATGTATTATTTTCCATTGTATTTCAACTTCTGAATGTTCTACTATTTCTGTTTTTTAGTTCGTCCATCAGCAAATAGACATCGCAATTCACAAGATATTGTTTATATTCCCTGTGAAATTTGCAATGAACAGATTGATTTACGTTATTGGTCGCCTCATACTGTAAATATATATTTCTACTAATTTTTCTGTCCTCCAAATTATTTTATTATAGCAAGACTGCCGAGAACAAGAAATTTGTCGAATAGAAGCTCTTGCTGAGTAAAAATAGTTCAGTTATCAATTAATAGTTTTACATTGAAGTATTTAGAACAATAAATCGAAAATCTGTAACTGAAAAACTTCCTTGTGAATATTGTGAAGAATTATTGGCGGTAGAACAACTTCGAACTCATGAAGTAATTGACTAATTAAGCATTGTTTTATAGAAAAATATTCTACCATAATTATTAAACAGATAATTTGTCGAAAGAATCCTGATAATATAATTCGAGCAACTAAACTTATTAAGCCTCAACCATTATCAACAGTTGCTCTTACAAACAAGTCGTTAAAAACTGACAAAGATCCAACATTGTTATTAAGTAAGTTGAAAAAGTATTATAGTTTCTAACTGTACCGAAGCAAAACTTACATTGAAATCATGTCAAGCTTATTCTTCTCTTCAACCGACGTTAACACCAGCTTACAATTATTCATCATTATCCACAGATATTTATAATCGAATTAATGATCGGGAACGTACTACAAGATTAGAAAATGGGCATGCTTCATCTCATGTAAACATCAACGTTCTGAGAACTAATGAAACTCTGAAACTACGTCATACTGATATCTCACCTCAAACTTTTAACGAGCAATCAACATTCAAGCAACGTAGAGCAACTAATGGTTTGGATTTACATTTAATAAATTCTTCTCGCGATGTTTCTGCCTACGATACGTTGCCTGGATTACAAATGAGTCATCGTTCGAGTAGTGCTCTATCATTATCAAATAGAATACCTAGCGCTACGTCATTTGAGAGAAAGTCAGAATATCGTAGACCTATGCCTCGATTAGGAGGATTAGCGAGTAAGCAATGTTTAATTATTATATTTATGTTTTACTGCATTTGTCCCAGGTATTGACTCTTCACATGGGCGGTCAGCTTCAACAAACTTCTTGGATGCACGAGGCAGCACTCGTTCATACGGTGTAAAAGTTGCTCATCATTCTCAAGATAATAATGATATCGCTTTTCATAGTCCTCGGATTGAAGACCGAGTAAGTAAATCTATCCATTATAATCTCTTGATTTTTCTGTCGAGTCTATAGACACATCAGCCACTACTCAATCAATCTGGGCGTCCTGAGACAAGCACTAAGAAACCTAAATTGAAACCACCGTACGTATCTTAGAAGTTGTTTTTTTAATGATTCTTTTGAGAACATGATATTATATCAGTGTATAATCTTTAGTTTTCAGTAGCCTCCTATGAAATTAAAATGAATAAATATGAATTTCGGCTTCACATTATGTATATAGCATAAACTGTATTGTTTTATTCACTCGTTTTGTTCTTCACGGTGATATGATTTTACTTTATGTCAAATTTTCTCTTCTAATAACTAATAATTATTCTACTTAAATAAGATTTGCTTGTTTCGTCTCTTGTACCTTGGTTTCATGGAATTTTACTATGCTACTTGATCGATAGTACATCGAAAGTCTATGATTTGTTTTATTATTTTTTTTCTAACATGCGTTATTTTTCATACAGTTTTCACCACATTGTTTTTTCGTATATTTTATCTCATTTTTTACTTTTTTCTTGAAAAAGAAACTCTAATAATATCACATGTCCCAAAAAAAGTCATAAACAAATGCGTAAAAAATGTCTCGACTGTTATATCTGTTCAAGTTTGATAAAAAAAAAATAGATATTTGCATATTCATGTAAGTATCAATGAGTTAGTGTTAATATTATTATAGAAACCATTTTTATATTTAGATGTTTTTTTAATCTTATTCATTTCAATCAAATCCATACGTTTCGAGAAAAATAATAGTTATTTTGAAAATTCACTTTTACGTGAAATCTCTAGTCGACTTGAAAATCCGATTAATTTTAATTTTGAAGAAATATTGCCGAAAGTCGTTTGAAGAAAAAGTCGATGTAAAAGATTCATTAGAAACAATTGAACCAGTTAAGTACATTTGAATATAAGTTATTAAAAAAACTAGAAATTGATTCGCTGAGAAATGTTCTCGTTAAACAGAAAATTTTCAGCTAAGATCAGATTTATGAAACCTATGCTTTTGTCATCTTATTTATTAATAAGGGACATTATCAGTGAACAGCTCTGAAGACAATATTTTTATTGTAAGGAAATAATAATCATAATATCTATTTTATTGTTACAACAAACTTTTGTCGAATAGGAGAAATTCATTATGTTAACTTATTCTTTGAACTCCGTTGATATAATTTTCGGAGTGTGAATCACTCTTTAAATTTAGCTTATTCTCGGATTATATTATTCATAAAATTTTCATGTCCCAAACATAATTGTATCATTATATTCCATAAAAACTAAATTTACGTTGAATACTATCAATATTTGTTTCAGTATCAATTAGACACTTCGAGTGAAATTGTATAACAATTGACATTATTTATTATTCTAATATTGAACTCAGAAGGAAGGAATCGAAACAAAAACATGTTTACATTAGTTGCTATGATCGGTTTCTCAGAGTATAAGAATTATTAATGAGCATATCATGCACATATCTATTAAATTATAACAAAAATTTATTAAGCTACACTATGAAGTTAAGAACGAAATAGACAGTGATTTTTTTGTTTCCCGTCTCGATTCACGGCGTTTTAGCCTCTGATATGAACTGATCACGCACATATGAAACTTTCATTCTCATAGCATGTATTGAATAAACTCGTTTACATTTACTATGACGGTACATTTTAAACGAATTTCTTTTTCCTATCTTTATCACCTACAAATAAAAATCATAAAAGTTTATTGTAGAGAGTTCTGATTTTTCCAAAAATACAGCGGCTCATTTTAGCTTCTACAAATCATTCTGAATTTAATTTTTATTTTCACTACGTGGCTTACAAAATAATCAAAAAATCTTGAAAATTAAAATTACTCGACAAAACTAGAAAATAACGACCCTTGCGAAAGTTGATTATGAACTTTTATCTTGATTGGGCTTGTGCAGACATACAATAGCTAAAAACATAATTCGACAATGCATAGCCCTAATGTACAATAAAGATGATCGGATCCATTGCGGGTGATAAGTATAATTTATATTCGACCAGTAACCTTCATTGTGATTCTTCTAAACAATGATGATAATGAGGATTCTGTTCTACTATCCATCTTGATTTTTTTCTTCAGTACTGTATCCGGTAGTTAATAAACAATAGATTTATCATCTAAACTAGAATTTTTTACAACACTTCATATGCAACGAATCAATACATAGCCGAGTCTTTGAAGAGAGTTCTGTAGAAACTAGCTATCTTCGATTTCCGTTTACAAAATTTGTTTTCTTACCATTTCGTATTTTCAATACTGCTATACTCTTGCGAAATCCTGCTCCCGTTTAGTTTTTTTCAATTAAGTAAATTGGCTTAGATTACAATAGTTCTTCATGAGCTAATGTTTTCTGTCGTACATCAAATTTTCTGTATTTCAATATAAGACATTCTTTTATTTTCTTATTGATTCATAATAAATGTATGTTAGAAGTGAGACAACTATTGCACACTCAACACACATCAATATTTTAAAAAAGTCAATCGTTCTCGATCTTGTGATATAGTTTTCGAAAATCTTAACGAGTTCATGGTCTCACGATTTTCCTGTAGAAACGAAAACAAAACTGATAAAAGAGTGCCCAAAGGACTGTCATATGAAGACTGGACTTACGCTCTATATACGAAACTCATAAAAAAATATGGAGATAGTAGACAGTTGTATTGGTTGACGATTATATTTCTTGTAAATCGCGGCACATCACTGTGGATGATGCCGAATATCATGGTTTCACACAGTTTGAGATCGTAAAAAATCGTAATTCATATTATTGTGCACGGCTCTAATGATGGAAAAACGAAGTATGCAACATTTTACAATCGTTTACCATACAATGTAATTGAAGTTTTTAGATGCAAATATAATGCCAACTTCGTGTTCTAATGAGAAAATGCTTGATATTGAGAATGTGTACAATGTTTAGAATATATGTGTCTAGGCAATGAATCGTGAGAAATGAAATAAAAACGATAGCATCAAAGGAGAACAAAAGCTTCTTCGATATACTATGAACAGGGCTGAGATCAGTTTCAAACTGGTGTCAATTGTTATGGTTCAAAACCAGACGCTGGATACTGCTCCACACATTCAGAATGTGCTTCAATTGTTACTAACATATTCATATATTGGTTTCTAAAACGATTGAACATTGCAGCAAAGAAGTTGGAAACTATATTTATCATTCAACACAGCCAAACTGGTGCGCTAAGTCTCATTTTCTAGGAGCAAGGGTCATTAACCGCCTAACATTTCAAAGTTCAAACGACTAAGATATAGGATAAGGCACGAACTTAGCATCTCATTTAGGGAATGAGTGGTGGAGGCAACTATCCTTGCCTGATCAATTTTATTTTGCTTTTTTGAGCAAATACGCACAAAAATGAACTTCTAGTGCATCGGATTCATGTTAGAATAATGGTCTTTGATGATGATAGCCTCCGTCTTTCCAACAAGCTGTTTCTCATCTACCGGCATTCTAGATCGGTGGCAATGAGTACAATTTGATAATCAGCTATTTTTCAAATTTGTTCATTCTGAAAAGTCTGTTTGAAGTGCATCTTGGCATATAACAGATGATATTGACACCAGAGATGTATGTTGTCCGTACGCGAAGAGATAATGACGCACGGTTCGCGCTCTAACAACAATTATGACTTATCTTTTTAGGGATCGCGCCGCCAAAGAAGCGTAGGAGAGAGAAGAGAATAGGTGGCAATTCTGCGCTTGTCTCTCTTATTATGTTCGTCAAGTTTTCACGCTGTTACTATACCAACTGTTACAATCTACAGCTGAGAATTAAAATATATGCACAACAAACACTAAAAATTATGAGAATGACTTTAATCATTAACACACTCGTTCTTTATGATATAATGTTTGTTGTATTACTTGATTTTGATACAGATTTGATAAATTAATAAGATAAACTGAACTGTAACCAATGTTGATCAAAAACTATTCTGATAGTATATCGATTTAGCTCAAAACGTAATGTGTTTTATTGTGAAGCGCGCTACATTTAAATTGCCATTAAATGTTAAACTTGTGCAAATTTAATTGCAAAATAGATTAAGTATGAAACAAGCATTTTATAAGTAAATATGCACGTATGGTTATATCTTGCTTAATTAAATATTTTTTCGTGTTATTTTCAACTTATATTGTTATTCACAGGCAAGTATTCAAAAATCAAACATCATTTTCAAAGAATTCTTATAGAGACATAAATATGATATAACAAGATTGATGAAAAATCTTCTCTAGTTATACTGAGTTGCGATCACCGGGTGGTCACTTGCCACTTGTGCTGCTCACTAAAAAGTCTTTCTGATGAGTACCGCCTTTCGCTATTATTTTGGAACTGGCAACATCCCTTGTGTCATCACTACTTCGTTTTTGCAACGCAATGTACATCGTTAATTTACATTAAACAATAACAATTTTTGTTATGAAGAGATTAAAAGATGATCGCCTGTAAAAAAAAAACTAGTATTTGACAGACATTATTCAGAAGAGATAGCATCAAAATAATGAATGCTCCATTTATGGTAGCAAACCTTTTGTAAAATATTTGATCAGCATTCGAATACCATGTGATATAAAAATGAATAGATGGCGATATTATGTAACGATGATTTATACTACTTCATTCATTTATTCTTATTATAACAACATTCAAATTTCATTTGAATACATGAAAAAAGAATCTCTTTCGATTCAAAGAGTGATTCACCTTTTAAGTATTTTAGTTATTTCGAATAAAAAAATATGATAACTCTCCTTATTGGAGGCTAGCAATCAGAATGCGATTAGTTTATCACTTCTCATTATATTGTATACTGTCTCCCTCATTGATATCTGCAGAATATATTCTATATGTTCTGTATTATGTAAGCACGTGAGCTATATTTTCAACGACACATATACATCCACTACGTATGACAAAATGCTTTAAATAGAAACATTTCATTCAAAATAAATATATACATACATATAGTTTCAAATCAATATATGTATTTTTCCTTGACAGATCGATCAATCAAGCGTAACCATCCAATATTTTTCTTTTCTCCAATCATTTAACTCTATCATAGTATTTTTTTATCACAACTGAATAACTAATTAGCATACCATGGCCAATGAACAACTAACAAATCGTAATAGACAAGAAATGTCTACAAACAATGAATCAAATAGCATTCAGTAAATAATTTATATTAAAATTAAAGTTTTGCATTGACTGTGTTTTGTTTAGAAATTCTGATAAAAGTAAAAATGCAAAATCATCCAAAGGAATTAGTATTCCTATTCAAATAGTTTCATCAATTACATTAGGCATTATATTTGGTTTTTTAATGAATAAAGCAAATATATATCTTGCTCCAATGATTCGGGAACAAATGCTATTTACACGCTTAGCAATGATTAAAATGTTTCTTGCTGCTGTTGGAACGTCAATGTTAACTGTAGTCGTTGTTATTCTTATTAATGAATCAACCTATAGAAATGTTTTTAGTGGATTTATTAAACGTAACGAGCGTATTAATGGTAAATTACTTCAAATTTGTAGTCATCCACAAAGACTTAGCTTAGAGCTTCGAAACAACTTAAAACGGTGAAATTCCTGATAAAATCTTTGTATTTAGACATATGTTGAGATTTAATCTAGAACAATAACTTATGATAAAAATAAGAAACGAACATATAGCTTTAGCTAATTTTGTGAAGATCAAAGAATTGTCTTTTCTGGAACAGCTGCATAATCATAAGAAAAAAATAGAAAGTCATACAGCAATATTGTCTTATAAATAATATTTCCCTTCTTTTAATGACCATGAAATATCAACTATCGTATAGTAGTCTAGATTTGCATTGATTGAACTATTTGATCCGTTCGGATGAAATTACTCTGCATTAGAGTTGTTCATCTTAGCCTCGTGTTTGGCACCATATGTTGGCAAATAGTCTGCATATTCTTAGCACTAATAAACTAGATTTGATTCGATAGAGAATTAGACGGATTTCTCGACAAAAATTATAACTACATTCAGTAAAATAAAGCAGCAGATACTATACTATGCTAATTACAAAAAGAACGAAACTATTTGTACTTAATTAAAGACAAATACCTAAGGAAATTAGAATTCAATATCATTTTAAAAAAGATGCTAGCTGTAACTATCATACTAGTTTCTTATCAAGAAAAGAATTTGAGCTGATATCATATGAAATTTTACTATTTAGAACTGAATTTCGTTAGTTTTCTAAAGGTTTTGCTATTAGAAAAAATTTAAAAAATCAATTATTTTCTTTAGCTTTTCAACTTGTTTTGGGTGGAAGTCTTATTGGAGTCGGTATGGTTCTTGCTGGCAGTTGTCCAGGAACAATATTTGTTCAAATGTAAGAGATTCGTTTTATTCTTTTATAGTAAAAATTCTTTCTTTTGTTTAGTGGTTCTGGTCTAAGAAATTCTCTTATCACAAGTCTTGGTGCTATCTGTGGAGTTTTGTTTTATTATCTATTTCTTAATAAACATTTGACAAAACATGAACTGCCAAAATCATCAATAGTTCTACAGCAACTTCCAGATTTAATTGGTATAAAACGTATTTATTTGAATTTAATATTTGGTGTAATATGTATTAGTATTGCATTTATTCTTGAATATTTTGTTCCCTATAAATATGATTTAATGAAATTAAGTGGGCTTCGTAGTGTACAAGGTTGGTCACCAGTGTTATGTGGTATTGGTATTGGATTATTGCAATTATTTTTTATGATTTTATTTCAAAAATCATTAGGTATATCAACAGGATTTTCAGTATTAGTTGCACAAATATGTCGTGTACAATTTTTTAAACAATTAATACCATCGTTAGAATCATTCACTTATGGAATACAAAATAGTTTGACATTATTATTTGCATTTGGAGCTATCGTAGGAAGTTTTATTTCGACAGTTTTAACACATCAATTTCCTTTAAATGAAAAATATGGTGCAAATGCTTGGAATAGCTTTTTTGGAGGATTTTTGCTATTAGTTGGTGCGCGTTGTGCTGGTGGTTGTACAAGTGGACAAGGAATATCTGGTAAAATGCCTTTTTTTCCTACTTTTTGAATTTTTATTGTTTTATGAATTATTCAAAGGTGTTTCTCATCTTTTGATTGGTTCTCTCATTGCAACTGCAGCAATGTTTGGTGGTGGAATACTTTTTGCTATAAGCTATGGATTAATAACAAACGACTGGCAATTTCATGCTTTGTAAAAAAAAAACATTGAATTCAAAAAATATATATTTCTTTACTTTTCTTTTGAGATAACAATAAATATTTGAATAGACGAGCGCAGAAGAATGTTCATATACATACGGTTTCAAATATACTGAATCAAGATTGTTTGAAAAATAGAGAGACTTGCAAAGAAGATGTGAAACATGATGTATGTGTTAACATTTTAGATGCTTTGAAAAAGATCTGTCAACGAATAACTTCATTGGTTTTCATGTTTAAGTAGAAAAATGTTTAAAAGTGATCTAGCTAAATTAGTAAGATATAATATGTTTGATTTGTAAGAATATCATGCGTATTGTTAATTATATTTCGTTGTAAAATAAAGTTGCAACAATATATCAAAATAAAATTCTAGCAAAAGACTGTTGATAAATTGGGGAATTTGAAGATCTGTATCAGTCAAGAACTTGAAGTAATTAACAAAGAAATGTTGTGTAATGTTTTTCTGGAGAGAAAATAGGCTCTATTTTTGTATGTCAGTTGAAGGCGATACCTTCGAACAGTAATTTTGAAGTTTGTTCGTATAAATATAAACTCGGTGTATCCAACAATCATTTAAAAAAATAGTTGATAAAGTCAAATCAATTAATAAAGATATACAAATTTACTTTCGGGTAATTATTTTTGGAACATCCTGTAGAAGGTAACAGATATGTAAAAATTTTTTAAAGGAGAAAAAAAGACATCAAAATTTTTTTATGCTGATCAATAGCATCACTTTTTCAAGATATTGTTTTAATGCTAGTGTTTCTTTTTGTTTGTGCCACCTTCCTAAAATATCCCTCATTCATACCTACACCTATCCACTTGTCAATCTTGAACACGGTAAGAATATCTCTAGCAACTAAAGACATATACGATCAGTCCACATTGTCAGAAAATGAAAAGACATATTTTGTCATCGCCTCAGCAATATTTAAGCCTTTCAACGTTATTGGTCGAGGCAAATATACTTTCTCGTTGCCATACTGTTGAAATTGTGTGTATACTAAGTGCTTTTTTTCTTCATATCGATATGAAGGAAAGGAGAAAAAAAATCAACAGAACTATTTTGCAATAATCCTCGCTCCTTGCCTTCAGCACATCATTGATTACCTTTAGTGGTAAAAGAGGCGCACTACGATTGTCTCATTTTTCAATGTGTTTTGAGGTAAGAAGAGTTATGTCTTTTATCAATAATCAACTATTTTGAAAATAGAGAATATATAAGATAGAATATCTTTCATTGTGGGACTATTTTACTCGATACACATAGTCCATTGAATGTGAAAGAAATGAATTCGTTTTTCTAATGTATAAGAGAAAGTCACAATTCTATTGAAGTTTGTATTATATATATTATTATATTCAATCTGAAAGAATCAGCATAATTTTTACTTTAAACCACGAGAGATCTAAAGATCTTTTTTTAATCAGTTTTTGTCTTCTTTTCAAATGATCTCAGTGAAACCAAATCATGTCAAGTTTTCATCGTATTCGTCAATCATGGCGTCGATCATTAGGTTATTTGGGTATATTTGGGGTCACAACTGTAACCATCATCAATGCCACATCACGATATAATGATAATATTCAAGTACACGATGCATTTTCAAATCATACATATCAACAACAAAAAAAACATATACTATCTGGCATGCACGATCCATTTATTACTACTGATTTGAATGAATTAGAGTTATTTCAGAAACATTTTTCCCAATTCTCCTACTTATTTTATACGGATTGTAACATCCTGAAACAAAAATATGCTTTAAAGACTCCGGTAAAGATACGACCTCTTACAGAATGTCCCAAGCAATTTCAATCATCTTTTAATAATCAGAAAACACTGATTGTTGGCGGTCCACCAGCATTAATCACTGGCGTCTCTATGGTGAAAACGGGAAAAGATTTAACTTACATTAATGACGAACGGCGAATACCGATCGCTTTCGGTTCTGCTTGGCATCTGGAACAAGATGCAAACACAGAGGCACCGACTACTTATCGACCTACGCAATTCTTAATCGAGCAACTCGCTCGTATAACATTTCGATACGTCAGTTACGAATCGATTCAACAGACTGGTTACTTTCCATGGAGAACGCTAGACTGGATTGGTTGGCTACAACATCCTGGACATTGGCTTGCTGCATTTAAAATATCATTAGCCTTTCAATGGATTACCATGTTCGAAGACCGAGCAGCAATATTGAAAAAAGTCGCTGCACAATGTATTGCAAATGAGAATTTTTTCGAACAATTAAATCGGGAATTAAATGGGAAACTTCTATTGCATGAAAATGGATCGATTATCATCGCTCGAACTAGTGAAGAAGTTTCACAATTACAAGCGTTGAAAACTGCTTTAATCAATGAGGGAAGACATTTGAGAATTTTATCTAAGGAAGACATGCTTCATCGTTATGGTTTTATTCCTAATGGTCTGATGTATGGAGAAAAACAACATGATAGAGTCTTGTTCGCAGATTTTATGAAAATACTCAATGATTTTATTCGAAATCAAGGAGGGAAGGTTATTGATGGAACACTCACTATGATCTATGTTGATGATCAGCAGTCAGGAGGTATTGCTGAATATAGTACACCTGATGGTCAAAAACATTATTTTGCATTTTCTCGGTTAATTCTATCGTTGGGTACTCAGCCAATTATTAGTAAAAATAATAAGCCTTTATTCGATGTTGTTGCCGCTCGAGGAGTGTCGGTACTAGCACATGTTTACGTACCCTCGAAATATCGACTTCCACCTGTTATGGTTTGTGGTGGGACAAATCATGCAACAAAATTGTCTGAAAATCCAGTGCAAGTGAAAGATACTCATGGCAAGATATATGATTTATATTTGATGCGATTTACCGCTGGCGCATGTATTACACCGAATGTTTCTGATGAGAATGCAGCCAACTATGATGGAACGACTGCTCTGGGTCTAGTCACCGCGGTACGAAAAACTTTAGGTGAATTCTGTCGAGTTGAACCACTCGTTGTTCATGGTTGCAATCGGCAAGTCAGTCGATATGGACAAATTTCTTGGATTGAACCGTTTCCTGGAATTCATGTGCAGTATGGAGCAGCTGGAGGTGGTCTTACACGAGCACCGGATTTCGTAGCACGACCATCCTCGCATAGCTCGTCAGCTTGATCTTTTGCATCTTTCACAAGCTTATTATAATCATTGATATAAATTTATTGTAATAAAACTAACAGGAGAAAATATCTTTTTTAGAATAAATAGAACAGTAGATTTGTAGTATTTAGTGTTCGAATAGCTGATGAATATTGAAATAAGGGCATAGAAAAAGGATGAAAACATGTTTCGTTTTGCCTTGAAGCACGAGTAAGAGTCAATAACAAAGCAAATGTTATATTTCTTTGCCATATCGGTTTATCATGTGTCAATATGGTTTTGTCCTTTCAATATCAAATATCTGACTATCATTCTGCTTATTGTATGTTTCGATTGCATCAACATGCCGTCGTTGATTTTTCTCTTGACGTTTCCTATCTATACAACTCAGGGTAGAAACTATAGTTTCCGTATCAAACGTGCTGATCTTTCATATAATATACTTGTAGTTCATCGTGTATCTGTCTTGTCATGCTTACGACGTATCAGCGTCAATAACAATGTAACATACGATGATCACGCATTTCATTGCAACAACAACAAGGAGAATGTATGAATAAATCGGAGGGAATTCAATCTGCATGATATATTTTACGGAAATGCATTAATATAATCTACCATGAAGTCACATCTGCAGAGAGATCACTGCGAAAAGGAACTAGATTTGATAAAATCACGAAGATTTTCTTGTTTTTTCTTATTCGAGCAGCTAGAAAGGTTGGTCGAAAAAACCTCCTACATAAAGAGATTGTTGTGTTTTGATTTTGAATCTGCCAGTAGTAATTGCCATCTTCCAACGAGAAACATGTTTCTCATAAAGATAAAGAAATTGCATACTGAAACTGAAGCAAGTGCTTGAATATGGTGTGAGTATGGTTACTAGTGTAGATAAAGGGTGAATATGATTGGCACATATATAACTGCACCGACATCCTGGTTTATTCCAAGGAGCAATTCGATATACAAGAAGAATCTCTACTTCATTCCACAGGCATCTTTGTCAATACCAATGTATATCGTATTTAACAATGTGATCAAGGGAAAAAGATCCTTTTAATCAGCTTAAATCAAACGTTTTCGAGAGGACATCACTTTTTTAGTCTCATTTATTTCATATCAAAGATCCAGTATGAAATAACAACAATTTCAATCAAATTATAAGCCGTGCAACAAGTTGACAGTATATGATTATTTCCTTTCGCTCAGCAGTGAAAAAGTAACCTTTTTTCAGAAAATTTTGACGAGCAAAAGAAGTTTAACTAGTTTCTGAGAAAATGTTTTGATATTAGACTGGAAATTTTAGTATAATTCGTCTTAATAGTGGCAATAGCGTATTGAAAGACGGAATGAATTACCAATAACTGTTGAATAAATTTTTGTAGTAGTTATATATTCAACGAGCAAAATAATTAATACTTACTGTGAGATCTTTCTGTTAACGGTGATTCATCCTCATCCTTCCCTTGATATCTTTCTCTTCTATCTGTTCCTTAGTCACTCTTACGGTTATTGTTGTTTCTTCTTTTCTTTCTTTATTTTCCTTCTCCTTGCATCGATATATATCAGCTTTCTCAAGCGTACTGCGATGACGTTTTGGCCACAGTATTATTAACTTTTCTCAGTAATTAGATTATCTAGTAAGTTATCTCTTTCGTTATTAGATGTGTCTCTGCCTTCCTCACAGCCTCTGGAAATTTGAGCTCGTTTGAATGAGCCGTTCGAAAATTAAAGCAAAACTAGGTGACGAAACGTGATGACGAAAAAGGGACAAAAAGTTGAGGATGACCTATTTGTTCCTTATTTTGCTACAAATGTGCGGTACATTAAAATAAACCTCCCATAAACGTTTCGTAGCAGACTGTTTGAGGTACCCAACGGGAAAAGAATTCTTCAAACAGGCTACTTATTTTGAAGAGGGGTCGGTTTAACTAATGTAACGCGATGACGATGATTTCTATTAACAAGTTTTTTCTATGTTACGTTTGCTATATGTATAATTGTGTAAATACGAGATACTATTTTTATTTCCATGATGAAACTGTACAGATGTTAAATATGTTTCCCTACACTTTATACCATACGCTACAAGATGCCCAGAATGGATTTAAAAAATGATGATTTTGAATTCTTGGTCATCGAGGTCACACGTTATGCGTTTTTGCTGATATATGTACAAGTTGGTAAGGACATTTTTAAGAGATATATATTTAAATAAAATAAACGTAAGCTCGTCGAAGCGAGCTAACACTGTCCTTCGATAACAAGAAATAATGAATGAAAAATGAAAAAGAAAGACTTAATAAGCTGTACGTTATAGTTTATTTCATTGACATTCATTGCAAATATTTAACAATATTTTTCGGATTATAAAAACGATTAACGGACTAGTTATCGACGTTTAAAAGCGATATTGATCATGACTAAGGCGTAACCATGCTTATTAGGTTGATAGCCGACGTATCATTTTACTGTATTTGCTTACTATTATCAACAGAATCGTGAGTTTTTGACAAGTCAAGTGTGATCGTTGGAGTTCGCACATGCTGAATTCTGAGCACGGCAGACGATGATGGTAAATCACTGGTCTTCATCCGATATAGACTTTTTGTAGATCGAACACGCTGCACATGAGTCGTGTCACCATGAGCTGTGTGTAAACGAGGTATTGTTTTCAGTGCAGCGGGGGATCTTATGCGAGTTACTTGAACTGTACTTGCTGCGCGTCGATAGTTATTTGTCAAGCGTTTCTTAACGAGAGAACTCCATACATGATTTTGTGTTCGCTCATTCCAAGCACTGTTTCTTCGAAATCTCGTTTCGCACTTAACCCGAGATACTTGCACCGGAGTATTGATTGGTTTTACAGTCAACAAATGTGGTGTCATCGGGTTTATTTCCGCTGAATGACTTAGTGGTTTAATTCTTGGATTTGCTATGCTATACGCTGATTTTGGTACACGTACTCGCTCAATCCATACATTAGTCATGGATTTCTGTGAAACCCGACCATTAGTTTCCGAAACAAAAGTGTCTGTATCACTGTCTATCGTCGCCGAGTCGTAATCATTCTCTATCCGACTTGAATTCTTCATCGTTGTGCTTGAGATATTTGATAGATGTGATCGAGTACTGATGGGACTCTCATTCAGAATGCTGTAGACGAGGTAGTTTTGGAGTGGTTTAGAAGAATTATTAAGTGAACAATCAATATTGTTCTTTCTTTGCCATAAACAAGCTGGATCAGTGCAATGTTCGATCGAATAAAATTCGAAAGTTCGATTTTCGAGATTGGGTTTGATTTGATTCTTCATTGAACTTAAATTCAAAAATAGAAAATGATAATAATCATTCTATCAATGGCAGATGATATGAACGTACGAGCAATAAATGTACTGCAAAACGCAACACAATAGACATGCACTAAATAGAATCGATCCAAGAAGAATCCCAAGCAGTGGCAAGTCGATTGTAGTAGCTAAAAAAGATCTTTTCTTTTATTAAAAACATACATGTAAAACTTGAATGCAATTTCAAATTTCAAGTTTTCAAGAGGAGGACAAGCGCTTTTCTCCACTTAACTGATCTTTTATATTATCGTTACAGCGTGGGAATGCCAAACGCTCCCCAAAGAATTGCGACCCATACATGTTAGACTTGAAACTTAAAATTTCAATTGAATTCAAGTATTAAAGCTTTACAGTACTGATTAGAATAAGATGATAAACACTACAAACGTTTTCTTGTTGCTATTGTTGACGTTGTTGAAGTTCTATCAGAATCAAACAACAACATTCAATCGACAAGCTCCAATGCTGAACTACTTACGACGTTGTTGTGGTCGACGTTGAAGTGCTTGTAGACGTTGTAGACGTGGTAGAGGTTGTTCTAAATCAATCGAAATGTGACACCATTCTTATCTTAGTCGATTTTCCTTTCAACGTTTGATCGGATTATTTTTGATTTTAACTTCAGTTTATTTCGAAAACTCCTTTTTTTTCGTATCAAAATATTCCGAGAAATAAAACAACATAGCACGATGTCGAGGTTAGATATTGGTGTAAGAAAACATAAACGTGACTATAGTAGGAATTTTATTCAAAACCAGTGATTAACCAAGCAATGTTTTCATATAGCGCATTCAATCTTGAAGAATATCTCTGGCTGAATAGAGAATCTCAGCTATGTACCTTAGTAAATCATTGTTTAAGATAGATGAATCAAACATGAATAGTTGGAAACTGATATTGATTCCACTGACTTCACTTAATTACACATCAGAAAACTATCGTTCTTTCGGCTAATATGGTCACAAAAAATTTTGAAATGATAGAAAAACATACGTAGATGTTGTTGATGATGATGATGATGATGACGTCGACCTAGAACGCGCTTCAATATGTATTGTATCACAATGAATTACAATGGTTTCATACGAAGTTGTTGTAGAAGTCGATGTGCTTGAAGTTGACGTTGTTGAACTAGATGTGGTACGAGAGGTTGACGTCGTTGAACTCGTTGTAGTAGATCTTGAGGTACTAGAAGTCGATGTTCTAAATATTCAAAATAACCCAATGATGAGCAATAAATATAGCTAAATTATTACGTTGTAGTTGTTAACATGCAGATTTCACCGGGACAAACACATACACCAAGTACGGATACATAGAATTTAAAACAGTACTGTGATGATTGTGAATCTTGACTAAAAGAGAACAATGGTCTAGTGTTATTTTTAGATTATTGTCTACCTATCAAAAGCCATGGCACAGACAACTTGATAGCCAACTTGAGCAGCCGTTGGTGTCCATGAAAAATCCTTATAATACGTCGTCTCATTTAATACTGTTATGCTGCTTTTAAGGACACCAGCATAGGAGAGCGTAGCAATATCGACAATGGTCACATTAGAACCACAGCTATTTTTAGCATATAAGATCGATGTAAATGTTTGACCAACGAGAATCGGTGTGCAAGATTGCTCAATAGGTACACCAGTGATTTTAGGTGGAATAGAGCATAATGGTGGAGCAACAACGTGTACAAGAAATTGAACTGGTGTTGCACTCAGTGGTGTCATGCTTGAACTACTAATAAAATCCTCTACCTATAAAATAGTATAAATACTGTGTTCGAAGAGAAAACATATGATTTTACCATAAGCGTAATTGCATACCACTTGTCTACGATCGTTCCGGTTATGATAATAGTACAGTTAGGAAAGATAGTGGTATTTGCTGGAAGAGAATTAGGTGGACATGTTCCACCGCATTCATCGATACCACTTGTAGATGTCGACCAACGGCACCGAAGATCATCACCATCAGCATCACCAATAGGTATCTTGATAATTGTTGGTTGATCTTTCACAATATTCACAGGAGACATCATGGTAGCTACTGGAGCATTATTATAAAAGCCCGTATCAGATCTCGGTATGAGATTAATACGAGTTGCTATAGACCAAGGAGCACCTGTACCTTGGGCTAATTCACGCCAAGACGAATCGTTAAAACCGACGGCAAAATCAGAGCCAGTTTGTATGCTAACTGTATCGAGACGTTGTCCAACTGTAGTTCCGACAGATGCTGAAACATCTGTACAAAAAGGTACAATAGGAGGAGCTATGTAACCACCGCTGGATCCACAAGTGGCTATACAATCTAAAGTTCTGGATGCAAGAGAAGCATAGCTAGCATTGACTGGTATCATTTCATTAGTTGCCGTCATGTTTTCCGTGCATTGTATTACTGAGTAAGTCCATGAATATGTTTGTGTAATTACAATGTCGATCGTTGATCCAGTAGCCGACGTGTTCAATAGACGCCAGGTCATGGTACCGCCTAGAAAATGTTTTCCCTCAATATTTAAAACTAATCCTAACACGATGCCAACACACAAAGTGCATATCATCTGCACCATTGACTCTTCCGTTGCAACAAACAATGAAATAATTTGGACGAAAATGAAAGTGAATCGTATACTGTGAACTTGTATGAGGTCTTTAAGCAATCTGCATAGGTAAATATATATATTTATTTACTTTAATCAGAGAAAAAGTGTACATAGTTATTATTGTAATTATAATTATTATGATGTTGATAGATTTTCAATTGTTGACGACGAATGTCGACCTTGTTTTTTCTATATTACAATGGCTTCCAACCTTCTTGATTATTCCTGAAGTTGATTGTGAACTTACATGACGAAATTATCAAACAATCAATGCATACTCGCACGCACTTTGGCAACTCACATGAAATTCGATTAGTATACTTTGATCAGCTACGTCACTTTGACATAGAACGTCAACCAGGACTCATAAATGTCTGTTTGTCTTGCATGAAAGCAGAATTTTATTTCGGAAGCATGCGTGAATTTTTCAATCCATCTCACGGGAAAGATAGTCAATTAAAAGTGTTTCTTCTTTGTTGACTACAAAACAGAAACTTCTTTATGCTCTCAGAACTATATTACATTGTTACAAAGTGTAAAATAATGAATCCTCAGTATACATTTATTATAATTGCATAAACCTCTTTTTAGGTTTATAAGCGTAATCTATCCTGTCATACACTTTTTCTATTCATAAATCTTTGCTAGGTAATGTGAGTGTGCGTATAGGTACGGATGTGCGATATAGATGTGTAATGTGAGGATGGGTTGGGTGAGTGTCGACACCGCATGGTATGGGAGTAACCGGGGTGCGGGAGTAAGTGAATGGATGTTGTAAGCTATTCGGGTGTGTATGGATGCCGATGCGATTAAGAGTGGGAGTGGGTCTGGGATGTAGGTGTAATTCAGAGTGGAGCTGTAAGCGGTGTGAGTGTAGATGTAGATGTGGGTATGAATATCGGTTTCTGATGAGATGTGTGTATGGGTGAACAGCAGACCTATATCCACACCCGAAAGTCTCAAATTTTCGTTGTATGAATTCTTCAAAATTGTCTTAGATCCCTCTTAAAAAATTATATCTTATGGCACAAATTATTTTAAAAAGTTAACTGAAAATTTCAAATTCTCTTTCTTCAAGTTTTTAAAAATTCACTCATAACACTTTTAATAAGTCTTATTTCTTCAATTTTACTTTTAACTAGCTTCAGTTCATGGAGTTCACTCAATATTGAGTTGTACTATATCTATTTAATGAGCTGTAATTTATAGAGCGCGCTAAACTACTGTTCTTTTCTTTTTCTTCTTAATTAACTGAAATTTATAGAATTTGCCAGCCATAATTATTATTATGAATGTCGTGAATTTTTTTGACTTGAAACACATGCTTCAATTTTCATTATAACATGAAATCAAACATCGAATGGAGACAAACCGATTGAGGTGCCGAGAATTTATATACAAAAAAAATGTGTAGAGAATGGCATTCAAAAACAAACACGGTTTTGAAATATTAATGTTGATGGGCGGTTTCTCTTCACAAACATACCTTCATGCAGTCACCTTACACTTGCAATAAATATTGAATTACTATTACAAATTATGATAAAGCTTTTTGAAAACTAGTTTTGACTTGAATTAAAACCCTTCTTAGCTAAAACCCAATAGATGATCCTTGTTAGTGTATTATGAATGTTAGTTTCTTTGTAACAAAACAAAAAGCTCATCAATAACTACCCTGAATAATAGGTTCTCTTGTATAAAACCTATATTGAACGCAAACGATAATAATAATTTGTTTTGAACTTTGATAGCTTTCAAGACTGACTCATATATGCATATAGGCTTTCATTTCATCTAATACTTGATAATTACTATTTATGAAAAAAAGAATCATATCTTTCTTTATACCTTGTACACCTTTCTATATATCACCTCAAATCGACTTCAAGCAACAAATTTTAGTGATTAAAACCTTACGTTGTCTATACATTTCAACATATTCATTCAGCTAATCAGTATGTATTGAACACAAACTCATGTCGTCAACAAATCGCAGTAATCTTTCTTATACCGGAAATCTTCGTTTAACAACAAACTTACCATCTCTACAAATCACAGTAATTATTATGAAAATGAAATAGCTTTTCATTCAAGTTTTTATTTTTGAAACGAATTATTTCCTATATTCTCAAATTAACCGAAAATTCAAAACATATTATTTCCTCTAAAACTAATTCTCTTCATCTTCGCAAATGACAAGTAACCGTTTGAGATTATAGGTTTTCCAAGAATAACAGCTTGCGGCTAAACACACTCTAATACATATGTCTTTAAAATAGACTATATGTCTATATTTACCATTGTTTCTTCACTTTCGGTGAATGTGGTAAGCTTTACTTTTCTATTTCTCAGGGTGTGATGTCTTCATTTGCATCATTTTATGTATCAATTATGATTCAAATCACAGAAGACGAGAGTGTGATTTTTCTCGCCACCCTCAATCAAAGTATATCATGAAGAAGATTTCTCAAATGCTATGTGAAACTGTCAGTGGCTATTTGGTTGTCATGGAAATCCTGTTCGATCTGACGAGATTTTGTGATTAACTCGAATATTCTGTTAGCGACTCACACTGCCGTCTGAATAGGGTAATTTAATAAGCAGTAAATCAATGTGATTCTATTCATTGCTCGGTCTATTTTCTTGTTTATCTATGAGAGAAACGTTTGAATAGTTAAAGTAACAGAAAGTATCACATTTAAGTTTCTTTATTCAGATAATCTTGTTTATTCATCCATTGCTTTGTTTCTTGTTTCTGATAAAAGAATGGTTAAGACAAGAACGATAACGGCTAAAACCGATGATACATGGTATGTTATTGGTAAGTAGTTATTCCTCACCGAAGTATCGATAACTGGTGCAATAATAGCTCCAAGATGGCTAAATGCAATAAAAAGTCCATTTGCACTGCTTCGAATAGAAGTCTGAAAGAGTTCGGGTACGAATATCCAAGATACAGATATTGCATCCGATACGGCCATATTTACCAAATTAAGCAACCAACACACTGCTTAGTGCACTATTTTTATTAATGAATGGTATGATGAGAACACAAGTCGCTGTAAGATCTGACATAATGACAAATGTACCTTTACGACCAAGTTTCTTTTACCATCAGTAAAGAACTAGATATGTAACCAACAGCTTCGACGACAGCTTCGATAAGAACTTCAGGATATGGAGATATATTCAAGACCTCTATGTTGTAACTTATTTCATAATACTGGAGGTACGTTGTGAAACCAAGAAGATTGATAATGAATAGTTTGATGACGTTGGCTCTATATGAAAGAAATTGATGAAGTTGTTCGAGAAAAGGCATTTTCTTTTCATCGTGACCTTGTGCAATCGACTGGTTACGCAAGAATTCTTGATATGGTGGATACCATTCGACTTCAGCTCGTCTGTTTTGGTTTGCAATGCGACGCAAAAGTGATTCAAGCTTAGGATACTGCCGTTTGGCATAGAGATAAGGCGGTGCTTCAGGCATAAAATAGAGATAAGACAAGACTAGCCCAATAAAAATAACATTAGCCCATTTGAGCATTTGCCAATCGAAAGTAAGGCAAGCAAAAAGAATAATAATCGCTTCACCAATTGTAAAAGCGACAAGTGCCACATTTCCAACGAGACTCGTGTGAGCCACTGATGTTAGTTCGAGCATGAGAATAAAAACAGTGCTATAAGTCGAACGGTAAGACCCCATACTAACTGATTGGGAAGCAACAAGCCGAACCTACCAATGTATTCAACGTATATTATTCAAACATATCGAAAGAAAAGCTCGATTGCCTTTGCTATCAATCGACTTGTTTTAATTATATCTGGAGTTGATGACCCTATTACTTTTTGATTTAATAGATTTATTAGATGGAGTGTATTTGTTTCATATATTTCAATTAGTTCGAATACTATGCTTGAAGCAACTGACCTTCTTTCGTACAGTAGGTTTTTAGTAAATACATATAGTCTTTTTGTTAGCTATCAAAATTATATTTTACTTCGAATTAATTTGTCTAATCCTTCAAGTATATACTGCAAAACAAAGTGTTCTATGCCGAGATACCGATGAAGCTTTTGGAGGCATATTTGATTGTAAAAATGCAAATGTCAAGGTCGAATACATGAAAACAAGAGAATAATGAAAATTCATTGATTGCTATTACTATGAATGCCTCCATTAGTCAACTTACTTAGTATTTACTGTCATTGGTATCCATTGCATAGGAATTTGTGTTAAGACACACATTACAAACAGAAGAACAGTCGTCACAATCGTTGTCTTCCCTAGCCCGAACTTGTCACCTAAAGAACCGATTACAAGCAGTGAGAAGCTACCTGTTTGCATTAATGTAGAAAGCCAGCTTTTCTTTGGCTCGCTGTGACAAACAAGATTAGCTTCTTCAGTAAATGTGTAACCGAAAACAGATCGATCGTATATCCAACCATTTGGACAATTGATTAGTGTTGAATTCTGTTTGTTCATTGTATAACGCATACATTTGTTCTATTTTCCATCTTTACCTTTCAGAATATAGGCATTAATATAAAATTCATGCGTTTCATCTATCGGCCAATAATGTACATCATTCGACCACACAGACCGTGGCAATTGGCATCGATGCTCAGGATTCGCTGCTCCGAATACATAGTAGAAAGCAACAATACCAGCACTCATCGAAATACGATTCATAAAGAAAAAGTGTACGAGTTGAAATCGGCCAAGATCACCACACAATCGCATAACACCATCGAGCGATATTCATTTTGCTGTTGAAGATGATTGCGCTGTCATGACATTGACTTCATCAATCTATGAATTTGTTCCAATTTACCTGAAATAACAAAACAAGAAATCTGTTCACTTACATTCAAACTTATATTGCCGGCATCGTAGGTAACAGAATCCATGTAACTTGTGGTATGGCTATGGTCATTTGCTTTCTTTACTAAATATCAAAACTCAATAGAAAGATAACGTTGCACACCATCTCACGTGTTTTATCATACTCTCATCTTCTCATGAGACAAAACAAGAGGTCGTTTCTTGCGTTCTTTACGAAGTTTTTCTGTCATATTTGAGAGAGACGAGCTTGTTTCTGTGCAAATATTGATCTTCTGATGTAATAAAAATGCACTTATGCGGTTCTTGTAACGAAAAACGAAGCAGATTCACTTACATTGCTTTACACTAAATAGTTAGAAACAAACTATGTTAGGGTGACGTTGTTGTTTTGGATTTTCTCGCCATCCCTACTCACACATTCTTATAGTTTGCTGCACATCAATGGCTCTGTAGATGCAGCTTGAAATTCGACCAATGAAAACTACTTCTGTCTGTAATTCATAATGAATGTTCCTGGACGATCGTTTAGCATTGAAGAATACCATACAAAATTTGATCTTTTAACGAACTTTGCAACACACTGATTTTCGTATTCAAAGCGACGGGAACAAAGGCTGATTCAGATGAACTCAATATTCCTTCGTTTATCAACTCATGATGAAGATTATGAGCGACCACTAGAAGAATGAAGTTGAACGAAGACGAAGCCGTTCAGAGCAGCCGATAACGATTTTATAACCTCGCTCGACTGTGTCTGTATTTGACACGCAAGAAAACGCTTGAATCAATGAACTATTGTTTCATCATCAGTTCTTGATGATAGCTGTTATTTATTGTTCTGACGAGAGTCCTTGTTGATTATTTCAGTTTGCTTTCAGGTCAGCTTTGAATTAGTGAATAGATGATTCTGTAAGCTGAGCTGAGTAAGGTTGTGCATGTCGATGTATGTGTAGTGTAGTGCTTCTTTTCACTATACGAATAACTACACTCACACAAACACTAATCTCTGCTTCTTTACATGAAACGATCACAATTGCGTTGGTCGGGGAATGTTCTACAAATGCCACATAGTTGACTACCGTATCAAATCTTTCAAGCTACATCTACAGGCCAGAGACCTGTGCGACGCCCACGAACAATCTGGCTGAAATATATCAAGCGACTCTGTGAAGAAAGTTTCAAGCTTCGATGAGGTGATGTGGGAACTATGGCACAAGATCTAGCTGAATGAAGAAAGCCACTAAACAAGCTTTAATTGTGACCCAAAATGACTAACGGACAGAAAATGAATGAATGAAAACAAACAAATTATTGAATATCTTTTTAATTAGATGATAAAACAAACGGAAAACTTCAGGATGGGCTCAACCGCACAAATAGCGTCTTCGGACTCCATAAACTACCTCTTAAAAATCGGTTTTATATAGATCCTACCAAGTTTCAAACGAATATTTTTGTTTTATCATCATCATCTAGAGATTCTGAAGAAGAATTTCTACCGTTTGGAAACTATCCTGAACTTTATATTGGTTTAAAGAAGCACTTTCGTTTGTATATTCATACTTCGTCATCTTTCTAACGAATAGAAATTCAACTGTTTTGAAAAATCTAGACATACTAGAAAAAACCTTAAATAGAGATTTTGAAGCCGTAGGAGTTGTCTGCATAATATACCATATAGTTTTCAAAACTACTACTTTCATTTGGAGTTTCTTGAAAAACTTAATTCCATGAAATGAGGGTGGATATACTTTTTTGTCATACTAGTAACGCTAGTTTTTACTGATAACTCTTCTGACCGATAGTGTCCAGCGTTGATTTTTTCAGGATGTCGACAGTAACTTAACATACATGTAACTTAGAAAAATTAGCTCTAAAAAGTTCATTATTTAGAAATATTACATGTGTGTTAATCATGCAAAGTCACCTCGCTAACAGTGGTTTCAACGAACTGAGTCGAGCACGGTCCGGCTTTTACTAGCCGATGGAGCAAAATTCTTTTAAATAAACAACCATGGATCGAGCGGATTGATTCGGTGTTGCAATGAATGTTCATGGGTTGAGTCTTGAATAAGTATAAAATTTTTAAAAGATACTGCTTATTTGCACTGAATTTTTTTAGAAAACTCCATGTAATCCTTCCATTGGCTAAAATATTTCTGCCATCAACCCCAAATGTATGAAGTACAAGATAATATTATTGTCACCTTAAAACATTCTTTTTTTAATTCAACAAAATGTCCTTGCCTAGCTTTCTTCGTTCACCAACAATGACACAAACATTAGCAATTACTTTTTCTAATTCTAATTCTATTTCTACAGAATTTTATTAATAACCATCAAATCTTTTTAAAAATTTTTATGAAACCATTGGTGCTGATTCATCATCATATACAAAACAGTATACATTTGAAATGATCAAAGTTCTTATAAAACAACAATTTTTGACGTATGATGTTATTAAAATTAAAAAGTAATTCAATCTTTATGTTGGACAAATTTCGGCTTTCCAACTAAAACCATCAGACAATATTGGTGAATTCGAGAGACTTGAAGGTTTTGAAAATTTGCAAATGCATTACCGAACATTTGTTTATAGATCAACTACTGGTACTCGAAATATGCTTGCTCATTCATGTCAATTTGAACGAAGTAGAAAAGAAACTTGAAAATGATAATTGTTCACAATGAAAATCAATGAATTATATGGACTAGGCCGAGCTGTCACATCTTGATAAGAACAAGTTAATATACTTCTTGAGTGGGTGAAATTTTACTAGAGAAAGTTGCTGAAGCTATTGAACTCGTGTCAATTGAATAATAAAAACTATATCATATTACTATGTCGCTGACAAAGAACTTGTTGTTAGAACAGTTGAACATGATCAAGAATGTAACACACAAACATTAGAAAAAAAACCAAAAATATGCTGAAAAAATATGAGAAAAGATAGTAGAGAAAAAGCCAAAGAATCTTTTAATTGTATGAAAAAGAAATTTCTATTTTATTAACTATTACACAAAAAAGATCTTCTGTTCGTGTGAATATATAGCATAAATCAGTTTTAGTCAATTGTTCTCGGTCCTGTTGCATGTTTATTATATACATCAGTGAGTTAAAATTCTATTTTGTATTATATTTCCTCTTGTTGAAAAAGTATCACTCCATACATTTTCGAAATTAAATTTCTATTTTTATTCTTCTTATTAGGCTTCACATTACTTAGTAAACGATTCAATGCTAGTGAATATATTAAAATATTACATGCTTTTTTTCTTTCTGAAGTTTTTGTAACAAACTGTTGTCACTAATATCGATGAAATATCCAAGCGCGTCAGTCTCTCATTGGTTATCTACGTTCTACCATACAAAACAAAGACATATATATACTGTTGTCCTTATTCATTTTCTTTGTTTTATGAATTCTTCTATTGCTATTATAAATCATTTTAAAATTTCTGTGATATAAATAAATATGTATTTTGTTTTTGGTATTTTTTTCTTTTTATTATTCTTATCAACTAAAGCTCATACACCAGGCATAGTAACTGTTGATACATTTACATTCAATAAGATTCGAAAACATTTTAATGTTGTTCTAGCAAAATTCGATGATAAATACCGTATGTATTCGAAAGAGAGTCTTTGTTTTTTTACTTATTCAACCTATTGTTAATTGTTAATTTTAGCTTTTGGTGAAAAACAAGATCAATTTAAAAAATTTGCTCTAAATGTTGCTAATACAAAAGATCTTCTTGTTGTTGAAATTCCAATAACAGAATATGGAGACAAAGAAAATGAAAAACTGGCTAAAGAATATGGTGTTAAAAAAGCTGATTATCCTGCATATAAATTATTTCTCAAAGGCAAATCTAAACCAATAGATTATACCGGTGATAAAACTGAAGATGATCTGAAACGCTTTCTTTTACAACATACAAGTAAAGAAAAAAAAATTTATTATTATGTTTTTTATATATTAAAAAGCATTATTCTAATTAGATCTTTGGTTTGGTTTACCTGGCACAATCGAGGAATTAGATCGTCTAGCTCAAAAATTTTTTTCTGCATCATCAAATAATGATACAACTATGCAAAAATCTTTATTAGAAAAAGCACGTAAACAAGTCAAACAATTAGTTGATAAGAAAGAACAGAAAAGGTATGCATTACTTGAGAATGTATATTAAATATGTTATGTCTTCTATTTAGTGGTGAATCGTACGTAAAAATCATGGAATCGGTCGTTAAACAAGGTACCGAATTTCTTAAACGTGAAGGAAGACGTGTTCAAAATCTTCTAAAAGGAAAAGTAAATAATAAAACAAAAACGAATTTTCATGCAAACTCAATGATGATACTCGCCATGCTAATGCTGAGGGAATATTCTTGATATTTATCGAAATTTTTCACTATGAATATATATCATTATAAGTGCATATTAAATTCTTTATTCATTGAATATTTCGACATGGTTAGCCTAAAAATGTCGATTTGTTCTGTTTAGAGTAATTAATACGTTATTGTTTTGATATGTATTTATAGTGATCAATGAGGTTAAATCCATCGAGATTTTATTTCTCAATGAGCTCAACATCTCAAACCTGAGAGTTTGCTTTTTTTTGTTTTCTTTTTAATATATTATGTTCAATAATGAATTATTCTTATTTAAGATTACTAATGAAAAAAAAGAAGAATTACAACATCGTGCAAATATTCTTCTCTCATTTAAATCATTGAAAGAATCAATAACTGATACCGTTGATGTTGTCAAAGATAATGTTGGAAAACAAAGGAAAGAAACAATTACTGGTGATAAAGATTTGTGAAGACAAATGTGAACAATGATATCTTTTGTGATAGATTGATTTTTAATTATATTTACAAAAAATAAGCTTATTGTTTGTGTGCACTATTATGTCTGTCAATGAAGTAGTAGTAAAAAATCAAAATTGACTAGCATTTACTTTTGTGACAATTTTCTATATTGTGCTTTTTGTGTTGCAAATTTTTAATTATTTGTGTTGCTACTTTTTGAATGCAATATATAAATATATACATATACATATATATAATATACAAAAAACAACCAAATTAATAATTTGAAGGTTTTATTGAATTGTGTATGAGAAATAACAAGCATGTGAAAGTTAAAATACTAGAAATCTTTCAGATCATGCCACTTTCGTTTGATTGGCCATTTCCAGAAAGACCATCAATATTTTACAAGGCAGCTTCGACGTTAACCATTGGTCTTGTTGGATCACTTAGCAAATTTTGGATGAGTGAGTGAGAAAAAAAAATGGATTGATGCAAACATATAGAAAATGTGTTCATTTTATAGAATATCTGACTTCAGTGCGCATTGAAAATGGTAAGCATAGTTATCTATTTGACCTTGTATTGATTATTATGTTATTTTAAAAAAAGGTGAAATTCTTCTCGATGCTGTATTAAATCGAGATCCAGACCGACCATTAATTACTGTAGCGAATCATCATTCGTGTAAGATTATTTATAGTTTTACTGTTATTAATGACATCATTAGACGTTTTTTTTGTTTGAATAGGTATGGATGATCCGTTGTTGATCGGTATATAAAACGGTAGTTTTTTTCCTCTCTGTCCTTTTCATTGATATTTCATTAACATTTCCATTTTTTCATGCTGTTTTTTTTTGATGAAACTGTATATTTTTATAGGAGCTACGATGCCACTTCGTATTTTTTGGAATCGTCATCGAATGCGTTGGTCTTTGGGTGCTGATGATATTGTATTTACAATGAGAAAACATCAACTTTTTTTCAGTTTGGGTAAAACAATACCAGTGACACGAGGTGATGGTGTTTATCAACGGCCTATGGATTTCGCTCTCAAACAAGTTAACCAAGGTGGATGGATACATATCTTTCCGGAAGGTATGCATTTTTTTGCAAAGGATATTTTTCTGTAACTCATTTTGAATTTAACTTTTAGGAAAAGTTAATTTAACAAAAGAACCCATGAGACTTAAGTGGGGTAAAAATAAACAGAAAATTGATCTTTTCTTATAACAAATAATATAATTTTGTAGGTGTTGGTCGACTTATTGCTGAAGCTAATATTTGTCCATTGGTTGTTCCATTATATCATCTCGGTAAGAATATTTTCAAGATATTGTGCAATCATAAAAGTATTTCATTATTAGGAATGGATTCTGTATTACCCAATGAAGAGCCTTATACTCTTCAAATGCGGAAAAAAGTGACTATTTATGTTGGTGAACCATTAATCTTCGATGAGCTTGTACAAAGAATGAAAAAAGAAAATCGATCACTGGTATGAAATACGAAATGTTTCATATTATTAATTTCAATTAAGGGTGTTTTTCATTTTTTCTTTTCAGCAAGAAATACGTAAAGCTGTAACTGATATAATTCAACACGAATTATATAAACTTAAGATAAAATGTGAAGAACTACATCGACATCATCTATCCAGCGATTCTTCGTCGCCATAGAAAAAGATTGCATTTTTTTTTCGTTATTTTTTGGTCCTTGTGTGGTTTTGTAATTGTAGGACTCGACAAAAACATAAAATGATTGTAGTTCTCTTCTGTTAGAAAATTTTAACATCATAACAAACTAAATGATTTATATCTAAAAGAATATGGATACTCTTAATTCACATTCTGTTCCTGCAATTAAATATATAGTTTATTAAAGCCCAAGTTGGATCAGATCACATCAAAAATTTTGACCTCGAGTCTAGCCGAGTGGGCTCGCAATAGTCTGATTGATGTTCAATTTTTTACAAGACTGAAAACAATTCAAAATGAGATGAAAATTTTGTTCTTTTGAATTTTGAGAACTCATATAGGTTTAGAGTGGACGTGGATGTGGATGTTCACTTCCATTATCTACCCACATCCTAAATATCAATTTCTCGCCAGAGGCCGAATTGAGTCAAATATAACTTTCTTTTTTCGATTCAACAGCCATCTCTTCATTTACTATCAAACACGAACAATAAAATTCACTTTAGCATAGAGTTTATGTTCTCTATATATTGCACTGTTGCAAACTCTATCAATCTCTTTAGATGAGAAGTCTACTAACCGTTCAACAATTGCCTGTGTTTTCAATATAAAAAGTCGAATTCTATTGAATTATTCTAAGTTCAATAATTTTAAAGAAAACAGATATTTATGTATGTGCTTTCATGACTACTTCTCGTTCCACATATCTAATAGGGTTTTCTGGTTTTATGCAGTATTCAGAGCTATCAAAAAAGCTGTACAATTTTTCCACCCTTTTAATCGGTACATGCATAGAGTTTCATTATTGGTATGGTAAGTATTTGCTGCTTATGTTGTATGATCAGCAGTACATTTATAAATAAATGTAGACTTGGTGATTTATTACTCTTCTACATATCCTAATTCGATAATTAAGGTGACAACTAACATTGAAACACTTGACTGACAACCAAATATTGGAGTTTTTTAATTGTAAGGCTGTGCAATTGATCCAACCCAGATAATGGACTACTAACTGCAATTCGGATCAGAGAATAAAGATAAAGTTTGAGTGAAAATAGAAATTAATTTTCACCTTTTTGTAATATGAACGTCTTCCTTCAAGAAACAGATCATTATAGCATCGTTAATTATTCACATTGAGAAACTACTACCTTCACCGATCGATAAAAAAACACTTCTTTTTATAGTACACAAAGCATAATTAGTACTGTAGCTTGGCTTTGAAGTTTCTAAATTTCTCTAAATTGAAAGATTTAACATTTAGATAAACGAAAACCTAAGTAAAACTTTATGTGAGATGTAGATACGTTTTACATATGATAATGCAGGAATTGTCTTTGTTTCCGGTATGAATCAAATCGAATCGGAATCGAGACATTCTTATTCATTTCAGTCTCTAATGTCTACACCAGTTGACGAATATTCCAAGGCTAAGATATATAAATCTAGAAGAAACTAATGAAATATTTTTGGTGAACAAAATAAAACTTTTGAATTCGGCATAGTGAACCACGTATTTGTTGTAAAACTGAATCATTCATTTTTAACTAAAAGTATTGGCTTTAACAAAGATTGTCATGTTTTTTCCTAAAAGTACCGATATTATGAATCTTGTGAATAAATCCAGTTTTGCTTGATTCATAGTTGGGGTAAAATAAATTTTCAGTATATCTCTCAATAGTTTTATCCAGTCGAATCCAAATTAATGTTGAAATTTCCTTACAATCTTCAGCATTATCTATCACAGTAAGGTCATGATAAAAGAGTTATTTGATCTAATAAAATGACAAAAACAATTATTCTAAGAATTTTCTAGTAGATCTTTTTAAGTTTTGCCTTTCATATCTGATCGAAATTTTGGAAAAAAAATAACAATTGAATTTTAGTTTGTAAAAATAACTTGACTTAGTATCAAACAGTTAATAATAGTATGAATGACCCTTAAAAGTTTACCGATGAATGTGAATAATTATAGAAATCTATGTTTCGATGGAATTTCTTTTGAAAACTTTTCATTTAATATTATATTTGAACATGAGAAGGTGTGGATGGAGAGAAAACACATTTACACCCTTCAAACCTGTATGTGATCTCTATCGATAGAATTCACCAGTAATCGAATGACATGTATAATACCTAATTTATGCTCACTTACATTTTACACTGAAAAAACATAAGAAAAGAAAAAGCAAATGGAAGGAATGAAAATTTGATTATAAAAGTGCAATTCAGAGGAACACGCGAACGTCACAACGCATCGGTTAGTCGTATTGTGAATTATTTGTATAGTAAATAAACATGTCACTTTATTCAACAGAAGTGGGCTTCTTCGTGCATAGAAATTATTGTAAGATACAGAGGCATAACTCAACACTATAGACAAGTAGACACAGTGATTGAGGCCTAGAAAAGGAGTATTGTGCGTGTATAATTTTCGAACACAACGAGTGGCGTTATGTAGACGAGTTTCAGAAGCACGAAGAGTTATCTCTCCCATAAGACGTTGAAAAAAAAATTCACTCGATTTTTAGTGTACTGGGACTAAAAAACAAATAAGAATTATGGGTGATGATAGGATTGTTATAAAAAAAATTGAATGCTGAAATTGCAGACAACATTTTTGATGGCAAGAAAAATTACGAAATCAAGTATGATCAACTGATTACAGGTCCAACACTAACAATCCTTTTATATAAATTTAAAACAAGCAAAATAAGCCCTATGTCAAATGTATGCTTTTCGTTCAGTCAGAAGTCTCTTTGACATTCATCAATAAACTGCTTCTTTCTTCTTTTCTTCTGTGCAAGCCTTTTTCTAAGACTGTTTGATCGTTTGTTTTTTTTTTGCTTATAGATAAAATGAATTTTTCTTCTTTTTCTTTGTTTCTCTCGTTTGTCAACTAATGAAACCACTTTGTGTTTTCCTTTAAGACTTCTTTCAATAGTGTATACACTCAATTCCTTGAGAAAAGCAAATAAAGAAAAAAAGCCAAGACAATGCCAATGGTTGTAAGAGCAACGACGACAACAAATGCTCGTGGTCGAAAGCAACGACTTGCCTTACCTCCGAAGAATAAATCGAATGAACTCGACGTTGATTATCTTCGAGCTCTCAAGGTTTTTATATATTTTTTCAAAACTGTAATGATCTAAATTGGTATAGGGTTCGATAAATAAGAAGAGGTACTCTCGTACACAAGATATAAAATCTAAAATATAAATTTCTCTCATGACGTAATAGCCCTATATTTTTTTCTTGAGTCTTTCTTGATCAATGACCATCGTTTTCTGTCATTGAATAGCAATTATTATCATCTGTCTCTGCTTAACTTCCCTATTTCACAAAAAAATTAGTTCGAAAATACTAACTTACTCTATCTGACTTTGGATGCTGTGTAATTTCATTTCTGTTACATTTTAAAACTTTTGTGTTCTTTGTATACTCATTTCCGAATCTCTCGTATTAGAACTTTAAGTCTTAGAGAAATTCAACAATATACTAATTTATTAAAATTTGAGAGTTTGATTGATTGTCAAATAGATAAGTGGTTTATATTATTATTTCAAATATATGAAACTTATATTGATACACTCCATAATTGCCTAAAATCGATAGGTCTCGAACAGCCATTCATCTGCGATATTCCAAGTAATACAAACCTGTTTGATTAACATATCTTTTCAGGATTTTTTAACGAGACTCCTACTGTTACAGCTCCGATCTCATTAACTCTTCTATCACAATTCAGAATTAACTTTAAGTTTTCGGTAGATTTCCTAATGTGCCAAAAAATCAAAATAAATAAAAAATGCTGAAAAAAGAACAAGAAATCCGTAGCATAGTACATTATATTTTCTTTCTATTAATGTAAATGTACATATATCTTTCAGGTAATCGATCAAACTTGTCGACGGCAAGACACAATTCCTACTATTGTAGAAAAAACTCCTCGTAGACCTGATGCTGTCGAACAAAAAAAGTCCAAATCTTTCTATCAATTATCATCAACATTAACACCTATTGGCCAAGAAGCGATGATAAAAAGCTATGAGGATACACTTGTTTCTCATCTAACCAATGTTTATTCATCAAAACGTATAGGTACTATATTACCACGTCTCCATACTGCTACATTTCGTCATCGATTACCGATGATAAACAAATGTGATCAAAATCATGTAGATAATATTCATCAAGCTCAAAATTTAATTGATAATATTATTAACAATGATTTTCCAAAAGAAGATATACTTTGTGATTATGTTAGATGGCAACAACAATGGACGAAAAATTTTGTATAAGTTATAATTATATTTTACGTATACAAAATAAAAAAACATTTTAATTCTTTACTTCGTTTTCTCGCACCTTACATCGTTATATATATTTTTCAATTTTATCAGTAAAGAACATGTATCAATCATATCTACTTATTGCATTAACTGATGTTGAAATCAACGAAAGCCAAAAAAACTTGATAACATAAAATTGGTAGTGTCCGATACTCATAGAATTCTTTTCGTAGTATCATCAAAAAGTAATTCATTAGAGATTTCAACAACTTCGTAAACATAAAATGCTCGTGGTTTCAACTGGAATCGGATATGATTTTTAGAGTTAAAAGTTTTCATGAGTTCATATATAATAAAATAAAAAGTCTATGAAGAAGAATAGTTGCCGATTTAGAGATAACTATTGCCACCGCGAAACTAGCACATCAAAAATAGTAACAACATTATTTACTATTCTAGATAGTCATACCTTAGATTTACTTGAGAAAGTTTTTGAAGTTTATGTTATCGAAAAATCATACACATATTATATACAGTAATATAAATGATTGTATGAAAATGAGAAGAATAATAAACTAATAGATCGTATTTTATAGAACGATTGATATTGAAAAAAACAATTCAGTAAGGTTTCAGATTTAATTCACTCGGTTATTTTTTTTATAGAGATTGTGTTATTAATTACAC